GTGTGCGTCATTGTCCTTTTTGAAGGTGAACCTTCTGCCCAGTCCTAGGTTCTTAATGCTCTGGACTAGATTTTCATTAAGACTATCTCTATATTTTGCTGCATTGAGCTTTTCTTCTACTCTGACGAGTCCCAGTCCCTGCAAAACAACCCCTCAGCATGAGGCTGCTACCAGCACACTTTACTGTTGGGATGGTACTGTGCAGGTAGTGCTTTCCTCCATACATGATGCTTGGAACTGAGGTTCATCAGACCAAGGAATTTTGTTTCTCTCTTCTTTCAGTCTGAGAGACCTTTAGGTGTTTTTTTTTTTCAAATTCCAAATGTGTTTTCATGTGTCTTCACTAAGGGTAGGATTGAGTCTGTCCACACCATCATAAAGACTGGATCGGTGAAGTGTTGCAGTGATGTTTGTCCTTCTGTAAGTTTCTCCCATCTCCACATATGATCCAGTAGCTCAACTAGAGTGGCCGATTTGTGACAACTTTGCAAATTTATAAAAAATAAAAAAACTGATTGTGCATTGCATAAGTATTCATACCCTTAGTTGAAGCACCTTTACAGCTGCAAGTCTTTTTGGGTATGATGCGACACGCTTTGCACATCTGCATTTGGCAATTTTCTGCCAGTTCTCTTTTCCTCTCCTCTTCGCCTTTTAAGCTCTGTTAGGTTGGATGGGGGCCAACAGACATTTTCAGGTTTCTCCTGAAATATTCGATTGGATTCAAGCCCAGGCTCTGGCTGGGCTACTCAAGGACATTCACAGAGTTGTCTATAAACCACTCTTACATTGTCTTAACTGTGTGCGTCATTGTCCTTTTTGAAGGTGAACCTTCTGCCCAGTCCTAGGTTCTTAATGCTCTGGACTAGATTTTCATTAAGACTATCTCTATATTTTGCTGCATTGAGCTTTTCTTCTACTCTGACGAGTCCCAGTCCCTGCAAAACAACCCCTCAGCATGAGGCTGCTACCAGCACACTTTACTGTTGGGATGGTACTGTGCAGGTAGTGCTTTCCTCCATACATGATGCTTGGAACTGAGGTTCATCAGACCAAGGAATTTTGTTTCTCTCTTCTTTCAGTCTGAGAGACCTTTAGGTGTTTTTTTTTTTCAAATTCCAAATGTGTTTTCATGTGTCTTCACTAAGGGTAGGATTGAGTCTGTCCACACCATCATAAAGACTGGATCGGTGAAGTGTTGCAGTGATGTTTGTCCTTCTGTAAGTTTCTCCCATCTCCACATATGATCCAGTAGCTCAACTAGAGTGGCCATCAGGTTCTTGATCAACACTCTAACCAAGGCCCTTCTATACCAATTGCGTACTGTGCAGGTAGTGCTTTCCTCCATACATGATGCTTGGAACTGAGGTTCATCAGACCAAGGAATTTTGTTTCTCTCTTCTTTCAGTCTGAGAGACCTTTAGGTGTTTTTTTTTTTCAAATTCCAAATGTGTTTTCATGTGTCTTCACTAAGGGTAGGATTGAGTCTGTCCACACCATCATAAAGACTGGATCGGTGAAGTGTTGCAGTGATGTTTGTCCTTCTGTAAGTTTCTCCCATCTCCACATATGATCCAGTAGCTCAACTAGAGTGGCCATCAGGTTCTTGATCAACACTCTAACCAAGGCCCTTCTATACCAATTGCTCAGTTTGGCCAGGAGGCCGTCAGCTCTAGGAAGAGTCCTGGTTGTTCCAAACTTCTTCCATTAAGGATAACAGAGACTACATGCTCCTGTGAACCTTCAATGCAGCAGAATTTTTTTCTGAACTCTTGACACAATCCTGTCTCTGAGCTCTACAGGCAGTTCTTTTGACCTCGGGGCTTGGTTTTTGCTCCGATATGCATTTTCAGCTGTTAGAATTTTATTGAGAGGTGTGTGCCTTTCCAAATCATACCATTTGAACTGAATTTGCCACAGGTTAACTCCACTCTAAGTGTAGTAACATCTACAAGCTATATGTAAATGTAAGTGTCCCTGAAGGCACATATATATATATATATATATATATATATATATACACACACACCTTAGCATCACTCACTTTTCTTCAGAAACGGCAAAAAATCTTATTTTTCCTGCATAAATATCAAAACACCTATATTGTTGCATATTGCTGCAGCAGCTACTGCAAAGCCAAAGGCTCACCTGACAATGTGACACTCTGAACAGACTGTTACAGACACAATCTGCTGTTCTACCTGATTCTCCTTAATGACCTCCAGCAGTGCTGAATCAGAGCTTTCTACCTCTCAGTTTCTCTCCCTCTCCTTTCCCCATCTCTGTTGACCTATTGAATTTTCCCCAACAGCTTCATGGACTGCTGGGCTTCATTCTGTTTGACCTCTGGTGTTCAGTGACTGACCCTGTGCTGTGCAGGCACTCACCCCTGAGATACAAAGCCTGGGCTGAATTTCCCTTCGTCCATCCAATGGAGACCTAACCAGGCCAAACAAAAGCCACCTCGCTGAACTGAACCCTGGCACTCGCAACAGAGAATACAGAACATGACTGGCTTTTCAAGCACTTTAAAAGAGCTTGTCTACATCAAGTCCCCTAATTGACACTGGGGTGAAAAGAACTACCTAATTGCATGATTTAGACTCACAATATGCCGTAACAGATGACACTAATCACAGCGGGAATTATTAAGCCATGTTTCTTGCTTAGACAGCAAATGAGATGCTATAAAAGGTCACACATATTGGTCTTATGATGTAAGTGCAGATTGTTATTAAAATGGCTCATACGTAGCAGTGTGTGTGAGTGTATACTTGCTGAAATGCACTCAGCAGAGCTCAGCATTGCAGAGTCAATATTAAACTATGTTTAATGCACCTGCAATGTCCCAAAAGACAACAATGACACACAGCTAACAAAGATTAATGACATGTAAGTAATATATGATTATAAGTTTATAGACAGTCCCTGAAAGTATTTTTTCTCTTATATTTTATTTTAGCTTAAAAAAAACAAACAAAAAAAAAAAAATATATATATATATATATATATAAAATCAAAAAAGCCTGGCACTCAGTTACAATTTACTAACCAATAGAAAGTAGTGAAACATTCTGTAAGTTGTGGTTTGTTTCTATGGTAACAGCAGGGGTTGTCAAGTTGACTGTGGTGTGGTTTTTGGTTGTTTTTGTGGTCAGTGGTGAAAAGTCAGATTGTAACTTTTTTTATGTTTGGCCGGATCACCTAAAAAATTGTTTTACTTAGTAATATATTATATTAATCAAGATTAAAATTAAAATTCATGTTATTATTATTTTATTAAATAACAACCTTTATTAAATAATATTTTATTTAATAATAATTTTGTCAAAATAATATACATAATATTTTATTTTATTAAAATGCAATAAATATTCTATTAAATCACATCATGTATTATTATTATTATTATTATTATTATTATTATTATAGCTAGTGGGTTTGATTTATAGGGAACACAAATAGGCTACCAATTTGCAAGTTACTTTGGATGAAAGCAACTTCTTTCTTTTGCATTCCATTCTTCATTTAATATAATGAAAGATCAATATTTTTAGAGAGAATGTGTTTTATTATGAGAGAAAAAATTTAATGCAGAAAATTGACTTCTGGTCCTTTCTTCCATCTCACTTTTCATATGTTTTGCTTTTCACATGCATATAATCAGTTTGAGCTTTGGCCTCTACCCTGACTCACTGTGGCTTTCTGCCTCACTAAACTCTCACACACATCACACTGCGAGTGGAGCTAGAAATCACACTCAGAGGGTGTGTGATGAGATAAAATTCTCAGTCCTGACTCCACAACAATGTCTTTGTGCACCAATAATTAGCAATATGACTGTAACAGCTTTTGTTACATATGCAAACTGTTATGTGACACCCATGGGGAAAAAAACATGCTTGTTTCCAATCACAGCAGCATGAGAAAGATACTCAGATATATGGGCTATAGTTACAACTTTGTGACTAACTTAACAAGCCATATAACTAGTCGAGTGAGGCTTAAACACGTTCTCATTCCCTTTCAATCACCTGTGTGGCATTTCAGTTAATTTAATATCTTTCCTACACCAAATTGCAAACTGTCATTGAATAACCCTAGGTGTTCCTTGAATCGGTACATAAGCTGTGAAATGTGATTACAGAGGAACATTACCATGACAAAAAGTAGATAAGACATGCCCTGGGCAACCCTCTAGGAGGTGTCATTTCATTTCAGCCTTGTTATTACTGTTGCAAGAGGGAACTAGTTCACACACCCCCTTGCCATTATGCCACACAGGACATTTGTCTGTTTCTATCAATTTCACAAAGCTAGAAAGTTAGTTTATGCAGTCAATACATAATGTTTTTTTTTGTTGTTGTTGTTTTTTTGGGTGTGGCTGGTGCTCATTTATAGTAGTACAGATGGTTTGTGATTATTTATGAACACCTGTCTGGATGCATGAAATTTGATTGCTTAATATCAAAATGGCAGCACCCATAAGGGGTCGACCTGCTCTCTAAGTAAATAGAATAAAATACCTATTTTTCATCATATTTCTTAAAAGTGCTATTCATTTCTTTATGTGCAAAACTTTTTTTTTTAAATAAGCAAAAAATACTTCACGAACCTTTTAATTATTCAAATATAAATAAAAGTGTTAATTAGGGTGTATCTGTATGCATGGACCTCCACCCAGGTCACAGTGGGACAGTCTGCAGTGTGTAATGTAGATGTGATTTGATGGCAAGGCAATGCGTGCGGGATTGAACCAAACCTCGTGTAGGGGGGAAACGTTTGACGCTAACAACAAGATTACTCTGGCTGTGTCTGCTTTTCTGTCAGAGCTTTAAAAATATTTGTTTCTATTCTTAGCTATTTCATGTATGCGCATAATTGAGTTGTATTTGTCGAAAAGACTAGTCACGTGTGATTAATTAGATACGCCTTCACCCTGCCGCCCGACTGCAGAATGGATCGCTCCTCAGTAGGTGGGTCTTCACTGCGGGCAACAGAACCGAGATCAATGAACCAGGCGATTTACCGAAACTGGTCGGACGAGCCAAGGTGGGAATAAACCATCGATCAAGAGCGAGGTTTTTATTTAGCAGAAATCTGCTCAAGCACGGATTATCACTTCACTCCGAAGCCAACATTGAAGTGTGCGATGTGGAAAATTTATATATCTCTACTGTAACCTAATATCAATTGATTTTGAGAGTAGATTTTTTTTAATTCATCGTTGGGTCACAACAGGGGAATACAGGATGATCTTCGCAAATACGGCCAACCCACTGCGAACTCCGTCATACCGAAAGCAGGTAGGTGAAGTGAGACACTGCACTGGTAATGATGATCAAGACTACAGGATGGACTCACAGTAGATCCCTTACCTGGGACAAAATGTATTTAACTCCTCTTGCTCGTGCGCGCGCGCACAAGTAAGCGGCGGTGTCTCAACATCTAGCGAGCTGCCTACCTAGACAGCATTTTAGGGTGCGTTCGGCGTTTTTAATCTTTGCTTACTCGGAACGGGATTATGATGGGCAGAAATGATGCATGCGTCTATGATGCCAAAAAAATGCGGTCTAGGTTGGCAGCTGGCTGTGTTTTAAGACGCGAGCGTTGCCTTTAAAGCAACTGTTTTCGGTTTTGTGCGAGTTCTTTCGTAATTAGGCCTTTTTGGATGTTAATCTTATCCATTTATGTTAATTTTATGTATTACACAACACCACTTCATCTGGACTTGCACAATGTGATATTTATAAAGTCTGTTGACGGAACTGGAAGTGTCTTTTTCCTGCTTTGGGATGTCACACAGTGAGCCCAGAAATAGAAATGAGACTAATGAAGTGTCATTTCATTTTGCTAACACTCATTTATCACTTACATGCATGAGACATGTTCTTCGGTGAATTCCTCCTGTCATATTGCACTTGTTAAGGATAGTTTGGAAGATCTCATTAATGTTACTGTCTTTTCAAAAAGATGAATATTAGCATACTTAGTCTCAATGAGTGAAGGGAAATGAGGATGCAAGAAGCCTGTGGTGAAAGTCTCCCATGGCAACTTGTGTCAGGAGATTCTTGGGTGTGTTCTGAAGAATCTCTGCCTAATTAATATTCATGAGTTAATACAATGTTTTCCAGCAATTGATGGGCCAACAGAGGGTGTGGCCTGCGGAACTCTATTTAAACATTGCTTGTTTATACATTCCAAATCTGTAAATGTGAGAATTTATGGATGTCGCACACACACACACACACACACACACACTCTACGTGAAATCACACATTTACACATGCATTTGCATAGGCGCTCTTGTGGTGGAGCTCAGAGTGATGGCTGCGATAGAGGCAGCAGAAGTTAATGGGCTTCAGGATTTCACAGTTTATAGGAACCATATGGTCTAGGATGACTACAGCGCATAGCTCAGGACCCAGGGGACACGCCGACGTATGAGAGATGGCTTGGATATTGAATGTGACCCCCTCCTCACTCCCTCTCCCATTGCGTTTTCGATGTCTTAGTTACCCTTCCCATGACTTTGTTATTTTCCCGATTGATAAAACTGGACATGTTCCCGAGTCTGTGAGTACTTTTCATACAGCACTTTAGATTTTAGTCATGAAATTGAAAAGATGGAAGAAAATGTGTGAAAATTATTAGTTCCTTCAGTCATTTGAATAATTTGCTCCTTGAGTTCCTCAGCTGTTCCTCAGCTCATCCCTTCGTTTCTGCTTTACGCGCCTCTAAATCATCCATCTGTCTCAGCATGTGATTTTCACGCTGTTGTGGAAGGAAGAGTGGCTCGATCTCTTGCCTCAGTAATTAACAGGCGCTAACAAGCTTATGGGGCCACGTCCAGTTTCACCTCAGCGCACAAGTGTGCAGTAGCCCCTCACTGCAGAACAAAGGGGTGGAGATGGGTAGGTTAAGGGATCAGAGGGAATAGAGTTACAGTCAGGTGTACACATACACACATTCACATGCCCATTTATACATGTAAACGATAGTTTTAGTTAGAGCCACTGTCTTATCGAACCACGTCTGTTGTTTTGAGGTTTTGCCGTCACTTTTGTGGTGATTCGGTTTTGTGAACAATCACCCGCTGATGTTTAACAGGCAGCCATTTTGTGACAGCTGGGAGAAATGGAACCGTTTTAATGAATGACTAAGAAACAGGAAGTGAGTCAGTGATGTGGTGGCCGCTGCTCGGGGTGGGCGAGAGGCCCACACATCCTGTATCCCAAGCGCTCCTGCATCATGTGATCTTTCTCTGGAAAACATACCTTCCTCTCTCCTAAAGCAGATTTATGGATGAAAATGCTACTCGCAGTATGAATGAACATGCCTCTGTGGTGAGTGGTACTTCGGTTTGTTAATGAGACTCTTGAGTCAAACTCAAACCCCAGACCAATACACAACGAGCACTAAAAGGTGGATAAAAACATAATTTTCACTTATCTCACTAAATTCTCTGAACATTTTTGTTTTTTTAGGATGCATTCACATTTTAAAAAAATTGTTTGCCCAAAAATCATTCTGATTCATAACAAAAGGCTTTTTTAACTGGTTGACCTGCTTACAAAACTCATCTCAATGATTTGCGTGTTTTTTCCCAAGTGCAAACCTCTCCCCGCAGCCAATTTCATTGGTCAACTCAATCTCTTAGATACCTGTCAGAAAAACTTCAGAATTAATGGATTCAGTTCAGAAATATCACAGATGGATCAGATCTTGACAAACAATTCATTCACAAGTAAAGTTATGTCTAAGATTTACGTTTTAAATTTTAGTATGTTCCTGAAATAAAGCTATCGTATGACCTCTAAAAACAGCGCACCAGTCAATCGGACCACTTTTATGATACTTTTCCGTCTTGTTTGAAGCTTGAAAGCTTCCGACCCCATTCTTCGTAATTGAGTGGGAAAGAGCAGCCAGCACATTCTTCAAAACATCTCTTTTTGTGATCCACTGAAGAAAAAGAAAGCCATATGGGTTTGGAACAACATAAGGGTGTGTAACGATGCCATGATTTTCATTTTTGTGTGAACTATCCCTTTAATCATCGCACACTGCCATGTGGCAAGCGTTGAAAGGAAATGATGCCGCATTAGGAATTTCTCCAGAGTTATATGGGGTTTCATCCAGTGAAATAATCCCAACACATTCAGCTCTGGGAGAATGCGTAGATTGGACTGATATGAGAGTTGAAGGGCCGACTGTGCCTGTAGGCTTGTTTGTGCTTTGCTTTAATGGGAATTAGACTGTAGGGAGCTGTGGATGTGGGCAGACTCACTGGCGATGGCTGACTGTGTAATAATAACACCAGTTTACTACAGATAGAGTTAAAGATATCATCATTCATGACGAATGGAGTCACCCTGCCACAGCGTGTTTGAGGGCAGAGTGAGGTGGGGGTATTTTCTTTTTATGTTATTTTATCCTATTTCTTTTTAAGAAACTCAAAGTGGTTGGTGCTGTAGAAGAAAGAGAAGTTTGTCAGTGATTTGTTTTGGAAGTCGCTATTTTTGTTTCTACCCAAAGTGTTTCAGTGCAGCCATTATGTGATGTCATCTTCTACGCATTTCCATTTGTCAGATCAATGAAATCTTTGTTCCACTCCCATGACAGCCTCCTGTTGCTCCGCCCACCCTCCCTATGGCCCCGCCCAGCCCGAGCACCAACAACAGCAGTAGCAGCAGCAGCACAACCGGCTGGGAGCAGCTCAGTAAAACAAACCTCTACATCCGCGGGTTACCGCCAGGGACCACCGATCACGACCTGGTCAAACTCTGCCAGCCGTGAGTATTTGCTATTATGTCACGACAAAGTCACCAGTGATGTCAATTAGAGTCTTGGATATACATTCAACCAAATAAACACAGTTTCTGTTCTGTTTTCCTCTTGGTGTGAGATTCTGCAGCACAGCTGGGCTGGTGTGTGTTAACAGCTTGAACGTGTGTGATTGTCAGAATTAGGTCAAGTTATGGGATAAACCCTCATGAGCCCCTGTTTACCCCACAAACATCCACCACAATCAGCTTTTTCAAGATTTTACCACTAATAACCAGTTAAAAGCACCTGACTCATGTCAGTGATATCATAACCTGTCACATGATCTAATTTTAAGGTTGAAGGGAACATGAAATGGTGTTCACAACCAATGTTACCAACACGTTAACCAAGTTTAATAGGATATTCAATAAAAAAATGTAGCACAGAACTTTATTTTATCAATTACACAGTGCTGGACATGGTATCCCACAATGCAGTGCCTGAATTCACTTTACATTTCCTTTCTGGTGAATTTCCCAAATAAGTGAGGTCTTTCTATACTCATTATCTCAACAGACTTCCTATATTTCTGTTGAGAAACAAATATATTGCATACTTCATACAAAATTGAATGAAACTGATTTTTTTTTAAGTCAGGCTACAACAATATTCAATGATTTTACTTCTGTAATCGTATGGTGGGGCTTGGTTTTTATCCATTGGGAACTGATTGGATCATGTAAAGTGGGCATTGCTTACCCAGATGGAGAATGTTGGTGGATAAAAATAAGAGGTATTGGTGACATCCGCTGAAAAAGTTTAGTCATTTCAGAAGCGGAGCAAGTAAGGATTACAAAGACAAACATATTTTTGTTTGGAATAATATGTGCTGATGAATCATTTAAAAGTTGTAAGCCACGAACCAAACCAACCAGCTACGACTTGAATTACAACATTACAAACTTTGATTCGAAACTTTGATCTACAAGGAGAAATATAAAACTTGCTTTAAAGATGTTGATTATGTATAAAGAAAAAAGTATATATTTTATGTATATTTCAAAATATGCATATGTATACAAATATTTAAGTTGTTTGAGTGTGTAGGGAGACTGACTCAATTACGTCATGCTCGGCTCTTTATAGGAGTGCCAAAAAGTTCTTTAGCGTGTTTCACTCGTCACAATTCTCTGATTGTTGGAGATTTATTTGCATAATAATGGGTAATGTACTTTTCCACCAGGAATTCTCCTGTTGAACACCATTATTTAAAAAATAAGTTCAAATAATTTAATTAAAAAAGCATATACCATTGATTAACAACCTTGAAACTCACAGTAGGTCTGTCTTTAAAGGGGTCATATGATGTTGCTAAAAAGAACATTATTTTGTGTATTTGGTGTAATGAAATGTGTT